TGAAAAAGGACTTTTTATTGTCCTTGATGCTCAAAGCTAGTTGGAGTTCAGTTGCAGCCTTGGCTTTCCTGGTCTGCTCCCTACAGGACCGGACCAGTGCAGAATAATCCTCCTTGGAGGTGACTCCCATCCTCCACCCTTTGTAGGCCTTTCTTTTTAGCCTCAGGAGATCTGCTAGGTCCCTGGAGAGCCAGGGGGGCTGCTGTGCCCTCTTGCTGCCTTTCCTCCGAGATGGAATAGACTTAGTTTGTGCATTGAGGATCGCTCCCTTGAGGAGCAACCACTCCTCTTGAACTCCCCTCTCCCTGTGGTCACGGTCCCTTAGGGCCTCACTGACAAGCCTCCTGAGCTTGTCAAAGTCAGCTTTCCTGAAGTCAAGGACTTGCGCGTTGCTGACCGACTTGCCAGCTTTTCGGCAGATGGTGAAGGTGATCAGCTCGTGGTCGCTGTCACCCAGCTTCCCATCGATCACTAGGTCGCCGACTAGGTCATCCCCAGTAGCCAGTACCAGGTCAAGCAGCGCTTTGCCTCTCGTTGGCCCATAGACTTCTTGAGTCAGGTAGAGGTCATCCATGCACGAGAGGAAGCTCTGCGACCGCTCAGATTTTGCTGAGCGATCCTCCCATGAGATGTCTGGGTAATTGAAGTCACCCATGACAACCATGGTCCTGGAGCAAGCTGCCTCAGCCAGGCAGGGTGTTGTTGAAGAGATCCAGAAGGAGCCCTCCCAATTAAAGGTGAGGTTGCACCAATTACCACCAGCTTCTTTATCCAAAACGATGTTATGCTGATTAGAACCAAGCTTAACCTTGTCCCTGAGTGGGTGCTTCATGTAGAGAAAACCTCTTGGTTTTGAGCTATTCGAGCCCACAGATGTGTTTTCCTAACCAGTTATTTGTCTGAATTAGAACTCAAGAGTTTATTTCTCTAAGGGTGCATTGAATTATAGTTATGTGATCAGTGTTAGTACCTGTGCTACTTCAGGAGCACTGCCTTTCACATGGAGAGTTGTATGTGCTGCACCTGCAAGATGGCTGAAAAAGAAAAAGAGTTGAAAAGACCAGTTATGTGGGCTACAGAAGCTACTGAAATCTGGAGATGGAAGTGCCAAGGTTGAAGAGTTACTGACTGCTGTGTGGAGTGGCTGTTACCTCATTACACAACCTAACCTTTTTTTAGCTTCACTGAGGGAGAGTTCCTGGTCTCTGTGATGTGGCATTAGAAAGGGTAGGCCTTTACAGACTTCTTTCTAGACAAAATTAAAAAACCTGCGGGTCAAATATCACATTTCAGTTCCACTAATGGTACGGACCATCCACCCCACCCTATAGACTTGGATCACTTTCTAAAAGGGCTTTAGGGGCTAGTCAGGGCTGGATGATGTGTTCAACAGCTCATAGTTGCTTCTAGAAGGAAGAAGTGACTTGTTCCACTTACTCCTGACTGTAGGACTATCCTAGAGACCAAGGGTTACTGGGTCTGGGGAACTGTAATATATGGGGGAGGGGGCCTCACTGTCACTTTGTTAACAAACCCAATTGTAATTGTTTTACTGAATTACACCAGCCTGAGTGCTATTTTTTCCCTCTCAAGCCCAGAAGACCTAAAACATTCAGATCCACATGCTGCCCTTCCTGCGGGCAGAAGGGGTTCAGCACAGCAGGCAGAGGGTTAGTGCCAGACACAAAACACAGGGCTGGGACAGAAAACTCAGAAGCTTGCAAATCCAGGCCGTGCCTGTGTTGATGAAAAGGCATTATTGGGGTTTGATCCTAGTGCAATTAGGAATCAAAGCTTCTTGGCAATAGTATCTGTCCTCACCTGAGTGTTAGGAGGTAGCTGACAATGTGCTTGGGCTGAAGATCTTCAGAGGATTTGTATAGAACCTCATCATACCTGAAGAGAAGAGGTAGAGGACAGTTCAGGGAGCAGCCTGCAACTACAAGGAAATAGATGACAGTGTAGCAGAAAGCCCCCTTTCCACATTTCCCTTCTGGACATTGAAATAACAGAAGCCCCTTCTTGCCTGCATCTCCCCCCCATCCCCATTTTGTGCATTTCTTTTTCCTTCTAAGTATTGGCAGAGACCTAGCACACTCATTGCATGGGTATGGCAAGGCTCAGAGCAAGCCAGAAAGCTGAAGTGGCTTTCTGTAGGAGAAACCTAGAAACTACATCTACATATCAATTAAGCTCAGTGTCACTAAAGAAAACAAAAGAACTAAAATATCCACTTCAAAGACTGTAAAAATATCCTGTGCTAACCTAACTCACTTACTGTCCCCAGTAGCCTTTGAGCCTCACTACCTCACATTGCATTTTTATATATTTCTCACAGTGCATTTTTATATTTCATCTGTCTCATCTTTACCATGGCATTTTGTATTTTATATTTTATACTTTTAAACCCTTAAGGAATGTACTCCCTGTAGAATGAAGTTACACCCTGGACCATTATTAAAAACTGCATTGAAGTTGCAATTGTAAAGTGATAAAATCTGCTATATTGGGCTGGTCCCCCTTGAGTGAATGTGAGTGTCTGATGATCAGTATGATGAGTGTATTAAATGACCATAGCCTAGCCAGAGGTACTTACCATTACAAAATTCTACTCTACAAGCCATTTTAGGCTAATCAACCCAAGGAACTGATTTCTGGGACTGAGCACCCACCTGACTGACTATTCCTGCAACCCTTAACAATACCATTATTAATTAATCAAAAATCACAAACTAACTCCCAAAACTGCACTACTGGCAGGCAAGACCCCTGTGACTAATAGCTGTCAGGCACTACTCAAGACCTATGTGGGATAGCGACCTCTGGATTGGGCAGCCAAAAGATACTGGGGGATCACACACGTCTGCCAGAAAGGGATAAAAGGCAGTGAAGTGTGACCCTCAGTGGTGCCTTCATCCAGCATCTACCTACTGAGACAGAAGAACAAGCAGGCGACTCGCTTCTGGAGAAGACACTGTCCTAAAGGAAGCTGACCATAGACGGCAGGCTCCAGGGCCTTGGATAGGTAGATATACTGACACCAGTGCTCTCACAATCACTACAACAGCTGGGATCAGCACCAATGCCAAACACAAGCACCATTTTAAAACTGGTCTGTGAATATTATACCCAACTCATTTTTCCACCTCGTTCATTTATTCTGTTGGTGCTGCTTCACAAATCTCCTCAATATTGCAGATTTCAGGGCTCACCACAGCTGCTCCAAAGCAAAGATGACAGTACTTTAGAAGCAAGCTTTGCTTTTAGATTGTGTTATCTCCCAGTGCTCATTGTGGATTCTAATGGACAGAAAACGACTGTCAAAAAGCAGTCCAATAAAGGCAATGGCCTTTAATAAAAGTGGCTCTAAAGTTCCAATAGCTAAAGGGAGTCGCATAAAATGCTGTTTACAAAATACTGAAATACAGTCTGGCAAACACCACATCACAGCACAAATGTACAGATTTGTAGAGACAACCATAATAGTTCTGTTGTGCAGTGGCTGGCAGGAATTATCTAGCACCTGCTGGACACTTTGTTTTGATCTTCAAGGCCTGGTCCCTTCCAAAGCACAATCATGAAAGGGGATCCATTGCCATTCTATTCTTGGATGCATTTCCAAGCCTGCCCCAGCAAACCGTATTCTTTGAGCAGCGGAGACCCGTGGCAACCTTCTCTCTCACTATCCGGTTACAGCAAAACTTAGGGAGTGGAGTCAGGGTAAGGACAGGAGTTGATAATCTCACGGGAACTGTAGTTCTAGGGAAGGGAATGCTCCATGTGACCCTTCCCTGAAGGCACACCACAAAGCCAACCCTTATTATTTTGTTTTACTGTAGCATTTAAGGGCCCCAAGTCACAACTAGGATCCCACTGTGTTAGGCCCTATACAAATGATGGTCTCCGTCTCTCATCAGTTTACAATTGATTCATGCGTGCACCATATTAATGGCTCTGCCTAGGCTTTGGTGCAACGTTGCAACTGGCAACTGCTAGTCTACAGCGGGGCTGTGTGGCTGTAGAAAATAGTCTTCAGCAATTGTCAGTTTGTTAGTGAAATGGTTATCATCACGAGTTGGTTTCCATTCAAGGGTGTTTAAGAGCACTAGGAAACGATTGATGGTACAAGTTTCAGTAAATTCTCAAGCTGCGATCAAACAAAAGGATGTGACAAGCAGAATAATTAGGTCAGCTTTTATGGGGCAAAGTGCTACCATAAATCTACTAGCCCAAGGGATTCACTGATCTGCAAACATTTTTCCAGGTTAATGATGCCTAGAACTGACCAGTTCAAAGGCCAGCTGTTTTTGTTCTAGTGTCAAAGGCCACAACCAAAACCTCAGGGGTAGGTTTTGACAGCTAGTGGGGGTACAGGTAGGTGGGTACTATGGAAGAGCTTCAAGAAGCTTCTGCTCCTGGTTACAAGGTGGGAGGTGTGTGGGGCAGATACAGTGCCCTGAAACATTCAGCTGTGGGTTTATTAGAAAATGTCTTCCTGGTGCAGTTCAAAGACATCAAGATGCTGGAGGATACTTAATACGAATCCCCCATGCTAAAGAGATGCACTTTCCACAGTGCCAAGATGGTTACAGTAATCACCACAGACAGACCTGGGCTTTCTTTCCACCTCTGGGAAATCCCCTAACCTACATGACGGGGGTAATACTGCTTGCTCAGCTTTTTGAAAATGTTAAGAATTATCAGTGAAAAGTATTAAATCCCTCGTAGACATTGATTTGTGGGTATCCCTGGTGGCTGCTGGCAGCTGAGGAAGATGCTCCATTCCACATGTCCTGGGGGCATTTTCTCACATAGTCAGAACTTTTTTTTTTTTCTATTATACAATATAACTTGTTCACCATGCAGGTCACAAACCCTAAGACATGGCTTCTCAGGAGATAATATGTGGAAGGAAATCATCAATACCTGAGAAGATGCTGAAGGATTGATAGGGCTTGTGGATCTTGTAAACATGCGGCATTAATGTCAGCAAGTTGCCCATTTCCGCACATCTGCTCTAAACTAGAAAATAGGAGAGCACAGTGTCAAAGAAGAAAATATTGGATTAAACATACTCTTGGCAAAGCATAGAAATTAAAGCCAAATTACGCTTGAACACCCTCCCCCTCCCCCCAACATTTTCATTTTATTTACTATATTTACTTTCCTTGCTCAAACTGAATAAAACGTGTACTGGACTGATTTCAATCCAAGACAAAAAGCTACCATAAACTTCAGCCAGATGCTGAGAGCATTTATCAGTGACTTTGAGAGCCGACTGGAAGAAAAAAATATAGTTTAAAAGAACTCCATCAAGCTTGACTTTTTCAAATGCAAACAAACCAACTGAGGAGTCTGACTAGGTCTGTGCTTACTTATGTCAACGGTTTGCCATTAAAACAAGTGATTTATCTTGAAATATAATATTTATTTTAAGAATTTTTAGAAATCCTTAAAGTATATTTTGGGAATTCCCAGATGAACGTAATAAAGGCTAGTGTTTGTCATCATAGTCAGTGACAGTCCAGTCAGTTTATTAGATTAAATGCGGTAGTAAGGTGTGTTTAGCAGAGCCAAATTTCTTGGTAACCAGAGAATCGCTGTGGTGCCCTGATCTGGAGGCTGCCCTGTTGAAGGCCCGTTTCCCTAATTTACAGCAGGCACTAAAGGAGGTTGCTACAACTAGAAGTTACTATGGCAGAAGTACGCCATGGTATGCCAGGCCAGGGAAAAGATTATGGTCCTCTCTACCAGCCACAGGGAGATGGGTTACAAGTTCCATCTTCATTAGTTTACTGGGGCCGCAGGGATGTTTACTGTGAGCATTCCCCTCAACTAGAGAAGCAAGACTGTGTTAAATCTGAGTAGAGGTTTCCTTGCTTCCAACTGTTATTGAGGCACTGAAGTTAAATGGAAAATTGCCCCACTCTGCATTATCCGCTCACCTGTGGAGTCTGGCATGTGTGTACTGCAGGAACACACCTGTGTCTCCTCGACTCTGGAGAACCCGATCCCAGCTAAACTGATAATCAGATGAGAGACGGCCCTTGAAATCCTAAAACGAAAGGTTAGTAAGTGCCATGCAACTATTGCTCTTAGTGACAATGTATATTCTTTCAAAGAAGCAAACATTGGAAAATGGTTCAAACAGACCTGAATGATGAGTGCTGCAAGCCCAATCGTTTCTGCAGTCTCAAGAGGGTTTTCCAGTTCTTTAGTTGCTGAACAGGTACAAGCAAAAATAGATGATGTCAATCTGTGACAGTGAAATGGCCTCCTGGAGTCAGAGCTATAGGTGCTGACACAATAACAGATTTGTCAAAAGTAAAAAACAAACAAACAAACAGTCCCCCCCGCCCCCCTCCCAAAAAAACCCAAAAAGAAAACCACCTGCCAGAGAGCCAGGACGAACAGGACTAGGTTATAAAACCTCTTTGGAAGTTAACCCATGCCAGTACCACAGACTAGCACTTTTTTGCTCAGTATGATTTGTAGAGCTTTAAGGCCAGAAGGGACTGGTATGATAGCCCAGCCCACCCTCCTGCACAACACAGGGCAAATAGTATGTGGTGGCAAGATTTCAGTTTCTTCTCCTGAAACAAGAGGTTTCTTTCTGTAACTAGAAAATCCACTGGGCCATGTGCTCACAGCACCCTCAAGAGCCCCAACGACAAACTCTTCAGCCCCACACCTTTATGAGTGCAGCTGGAGAGGACCCATGGCAAGTGGCAGAAGTGCTGCTGCACAGCACATGGGTTTAGTGCCAGGAAGCAAAACAGTGACACTAACACAGGCCTGTTCCACTGAGACGAGAATTTGACCACATCGGTTTTTAAATCCCCATGGTTTTGCCTCTCCTCAGTTCAGTGCCGAGTTCCCTCCACCCTCCAATGAGCTGGCAGCAAAATTAAACTTACTAAAATCCTGCAGTATCAGACAGAGATTAAAAGTAGTGGTGCTCAATTTTCTGGGCCCATGAGCCAGATGAGTAGTGTGGGACTGCCCCTGCCTTGAGATGGGGCCATGTGCCACTTAATCCAGTGTGCAGGCCCATGCTCTTCAGCCTGTGAGGCTACACGGGTCCTGAAGTTTAATAGCAGGGAATTTTTTTTGACCCATGGAAAGTCCTGCAGGGCAGAAGACCAGGTGCCAGGGGCTGGATCCGACTGGCCAGCCAGGGGTTGAGCACCCCTGATTCAAATTATTATTCATACAGTACTACAGGTTTATATGATGCTTTAACAAACAGCTTAAATGTATCCCTGGCCCAGAAGAGTTTGCAATCCACGTACGGCAGGTACACTTCAAGGAAGGATGATAAGGAAAGACATGGTCAGTGCTAAGGCAAAACTAATCAATGAAAGGCTGTGCAGAAAAGAGGTTTACAATATGAAAAGAAAGCTGGTGAGGGAGGATGTTTATTACACAGGAGGGAAGCTAATCCAGGCACAGATCCAGCATGACTGAGGCAGAGGGGAACATAAGGAGGCATTAAGGCCTGAACAGATAACGGGGCTTGAATAAACTGTGTAGAAGAAAGAGCAGCTATAAGCATGGAAAGGTAAGTGGTAGAAGAGCTATGCTCAGTTAACAGTAAGCCAAGACGCTTCTCCCCAAGTACTTAAGTAGGCCACATCAGGATAGGCAGGATTTTCAATGGCAGTTGTATGCCTAGCTCCCACTGGTCTCCAAAGGGAGTTAGGCACCCACTTGCCCTGAACACTTTTGAAGTTTCACCTGCAGCGTCTGAGCACTTCACAAAAGTCAATAAATTCACTCCTACAGCCCACCCCGGGAGCATGGAAGGATTATTGTCCCATCAGAGGACATGAAGTAAAGCACAAGGAGGTTAAGGGTAGCATTTACAGAAGTTCCTGCATGCCTTCACTGATGCAATCATCAACTTCCAAGTTCTGCTCCCAAGCTTAGACATTAATCTGCTGCATCAGTACAGGATGAAAAACCTGACTTCCTGCCAAAAGGACAATAACTTCCCTTGATTGCAGGGGTGTTGTGAAGCAAAACACATAAAATCTTTTGCAAGATACTTGGGAATCAGTGATAAGGAAAAGTTATTTCACATTCTAGCAAGGCCCAAAGTATTATTACCACTTGTTTATATCACAGAGATGGAAAAGGACAGATGGGTTACTGGACCTAGGGAAGTGCCAGTAGAGGAGGTAAGGGACAGGAGCACTGCAATTTTTCTGAGAGAGAAATGAGTAAGACCTGACTCAGCTAACATTTTGCAGAAGCCATGTTTTGTAACATCCTTGTACGGGCTTCATCTAAAACATCTTCCAGGAAAACCACCTCTCCTCTTCGAGTCTTCATGCCTTGTACTAGCCCAAAAGGCACATGCTGACACCTGTGTTAAAAACAACAGGACCCAAAATTATAATTTAATCAACAAATCTGCCTGCATTGTTTGCTCAGGGCAGGGCCCTGGACCAGGATCTGGCAGTAACACAAATGTTGTTCCAGTGTGAACAATTTGGTGACTTGTCAGTACCTCTCACTGCAGCAACCACAGTCATGGACTTTGCTCAACTAGGCAGGAAGGATTACTTTTCTGACAACCTATTATTCACATGGTCTCAGGAGGTGGTTACACGCTAGCAGCTTGCTAATGTAAATTACTTGGTAAAATAAGTTAAGCGAAAGGAGGATGTAGGGTGTTGCTTGAGAAGTCAATGAGATCAGAGTATCATAACAATACAAATCTGATAACTCAGCATCAAAAAAAGGAGAATAACAGTAACACAACTACAGGTGGGCAAGTGAGGCAGGAGCCTAAGCACTGACTCAGAGGGTTTGCCAGAATGGTGGGTCCCAAAGAGTCCTTGCTGCAGCAGCAGTCCTGCATCAGGGCAGTAGCAGCTGCAAACAGAGACGCAGCAGCAGCAGCTGGGGTCTTTGAGTCCCTCTGTCCCTTTGAGACAACTATTGATCTCAGCTCCAACCCCAGCCTCTGCTCTCCAACTGGTTTTGCCCAGGATGGAAAACTTATTAGTTATACCTGTAGGTCATAATATCTTATCATGTCTACATTAAACTAAGAATATATTTTAATCAAAACTAGTGCTAAAATACATCAGCTATTTCTCTGTGCAAGATACCCAAACACTAGCCTTGTTCAGAACATCCTTTTTCAGAAACATAAAACAATTTTAGTCTGACTCTAATATGGGCAAAAGGAGCCAGAATCATTTTTGTAAATAGAAATCCTTCCGTTAAGCAGAACTTAGTCTCCGTCTCTTTTAACCTGCGTTCAGATTGCCAACAACAATTAGAACCAATAATGGTGTTTTTTGTGATGGATTTTTGCTTTTCAGAACTGAAATGAACCCAAATTTGCTAAAACTATGCCCCCCAAAAGCATAATTGCTTTTAACATATCTATGTATACCATGCACAGATACTGTACTATGAAGTCTTTGACAGAAGTCATTTCCTCCTTTCCTACTTTCACATTCACATCAAAATTTAAGAGGCTCCTTGATGGTCATCTCTTATTTTTCTATAAATAAGCCTATCCCAATAAAAAAGATACACATGATGATACATGCATACGTACCTCTCGGCCCATTCACAGTCCATGAGCTTCAGTATCTGGAACAGTTTCTGAAAGTGGGAGCTTTGACTTTTATCTGTCTTAGGGGAAAAAAGTGCATTTTAGAATATACTTCCACTTAGGCAGGGACAGAGCAGAGCTAAAACACAGGAAGGCAGACTGGACTTGAAAAGTATTAAGCTTAAGTACTAGGACATTAAGGTTTGGCACCGTAGTAGAATAAAATTATTTTATCTTTTTGAAAAGTGATTATTTTAAAAGATCCATTTTAGTCCAGGACGCTGAATTAAACTGCAGCCATCACTGCTGCAGTCACAGATTCTGCCCATCTCTCATCAAGTGACACCTCCATATTCATGGCAATGCTTTTGCTATTGTCCCATGATTTACGTCATCATCAACTCTTGCAGTTCTTTTGAATTCAAATACTGGACAGAAAACTCATGAAAGCCTATCAACAATGTGCCTGCTTGTGCTGAAGAAGCTTTATTGAAAACTATGAGGCACTCTCTTCTGGGCTAACCCCTCTGACTCCATAGCACCATTAGACCCATAGCTTTTACACAACATATCAGCAATTATGGGGCGGGACCTATTTAATTTGCAGTTTCGCAGATTTCATGGAAACTGCGACATCAACAACAACAACAATTAATAAAAATAAAATGCTGGCTCCCCAGTGGGAACCAGTCTTCGTTGCCAGGAGGGGAAGGTGCTGGCCAGCAGCATGGTATGAAGGGCAGCAGACAAGATGGCAGCTGCTTCCTTGTCCCTCCTCCCCCCACTGAGGCCTCTCCACCAATCAGTGTCAAGGGACAAGACCTGCCTTCCAATCAGCGCTGAAGGGCAGGGCAACCACAAAATATCTGCGAAATTGGCTCTGCGCGCTGTGAGCAAGCTGTGAAAACCCTTTGTCTCGCTGCAATTTAGGCAGGTCCCTAATTATGGGGCCTGGTATCCATGCTCAAGATACACATAGTAACCACACACGCTGTACAGTGCTCATTGCCTCAGATTAAATATGCATCGTCTGCATAATCTCAAACTTTGATTAACCTCTACTGTGACTTAAAAAAATTATCACAAGAATAAATCTTTTTTCCATAATGGAACAGATTTGGTCCTGATCATGTGTGATGCAGGTCCTGTCCCCAGCTGAGAAGGCAGAGCTCACCACTACTCCTCCATTCTTGTTCACTCCTGAACTTCAATCCCCCAAACCCTATTTGACAGGCTGGAATAAAGTACAAAGATGACTACTGCCTGGAGTTTCTAGAGCTAGCAATGAGTGCAGGTTTTGTTCCTCAAAGCATCATATTGCAGTCATACAGCCTTCTCGTCTCTTCTGAACAAGCAAGATATGATATCTGATGTATCTATAATCACACCGGTCATGCCAATTTTTATAGGATCAAGAACCTAAACATAATTGCCTGCCTATTATTATAATTATTAGGCAGGACCATGCCCTTTAAATGGGATATAAATGCAAGAGGGTTGCTTTTACAATAGTCTCAAGTAGATTAATATTAGAATTTAATAACAAAAAAAATCCAGATTAAAAACTACTGCTAAAAGAGGTTAGGTTGATAGTGTGTGTCAGTAACTCAAGGTAAACTACATTACAGAAAGGTTGTAATGATCCTAAAAGCAAGTCTTGGATTAGGGTTTTGGATGCAGTGGTTCTGCAGCTCAAGTTAAATTTAAAAAAAAATCCAAACTTATTAAAAGGCATGGGAATGCAGGATTAAGGCACTGAAACAACTTTATCCCTGCCTCAGAGTGATATTATAGGAGTCAGAGAAAAAAATGATGAAAAATGGTTTTTGAAGTCTGTTTAAAACTTGTCTGATTCCTCGAACAGAAGATGTAGGGCAGAAGGGACCTCAGGAGGTCATCTAGTCCAATCTTCTCAAGGTAGGGTCACCCCTGATTAAAACATCCAAGTCAAGTTTGTCTAGCCTAGTCTTAAAAACTTCCAAGGATAGAGACTCCACAATATCTGGGCTACATATTCCAGTGCTTAACCACTGCTATAGTGAGAATGTTCTTCCCAGTATCCAACCTAAATTTCCCTTGTTGCAAGTTAAAACTGTGGCTCCTTGTCCATTTGTGGAACACCTTGTGGCCACAGAGAATAATTTAGCTCCATCCTCTTTTTAACTGTCCTTCAGGTATTTGATTCAATATATTTAGTCTCCAAGCTAAATAATCCCACTTCTTTCAGTCTTTCCTTCTAAGTCATGTTTCCTAGTCCTCTCTGCTAGACTCCAATTTGTCCGTATCTTTTTTGAAGTGTGAAGCCCAAAACTGGATACAATACTCCAGGTGAGGCCTCAGCAGAACTGAATATAGCAGGGAAACCACTTCCCTTGATTTGCAAGCGACACTCCTATTAATACAACCCAGGATGCTGTTGGTCTTTTTTTTTGCAAGAGCACACTGTTAGCTCATATTCATTGTATGGTCCACTGTAATCCCCACATCCTTTTTTTTATAGTACTGTAGTAGTACTGTAAAAGTAGTAGTCAGTCAATCCTCAGTCCATACTTGTGCATGCAACTATTCTATCCCAAGTGCATGACTTTGCACTTGGCCTTACTGAATGTTTTTCAATTTATTTCTATAATATAATGAAGAAGTTTAGCCCCCAGCTTGAGTGGAACATTCAACTGAACCTTAACTATGGTACCGTTACTGCCTCCAGCATCAACCTCACATATCTCTGTAAGATGCTGAACTTTGTGTTTTGCTGTCCTCCCTAGAGGCCTTCATGAAATAAGTGGCTGGATCTGTGAAATTTGTTATGAATAATGTTATGCAGAGTTACAAGCAATAAAGTGGTTTAATGTTCTTTAAAAAGCTTTATAATCTCATAAAATAAGACTCAAAGACCTTTGGGTAAATGTCTTATATAATAAGATGTGAGATACAAGATTGGGACCCAACCCATTGTATTTAACTATTATATACCTACCAAATACAAAAGTCCTCTGTACTGATAAATTATTCATAGAAATCTGATCTCAGATAACCTATGGTCAAATCCAATTTGCACCAAATAAAACTCAGCCTGTGATAGACATTAGAAACTCACACGATGTAACTGGATATAATTCAGCACAATTGGCTGGCCTATTTGTAAGATAACTTCAGGTCAGTCTTCTTGAAATCAGCCTGCAATATTAATCCCTCCCTTCTACGAGCAGCAAGTTCAGCCAATACAAAGAGATAACAGTGCCAGAAATACGGTTCAGTGTTCAAAACTGTGAATGTTTAGCAATCCATTCCTTGTGCTTATGAAAAAAATAGATTAGATATTGACTAGAAGACTTAGGAGTTAATTTCCCTTTCTAGCTTCTATCAGACACTAATTTCAATGGCCAAATAATCCGCCTCGAAGATTTAAATTTTTGCTGCGGGTATCATAAGGATTAGGTCCAGGAAGCATGAGAAGACAGACACTAAGTCACGTGGGACCAAATAGTTATTAAGAGCTAAAGTAACTGGCCACTAATATCCTAAGGCTGCTTCACGGCACTGACTCTGCACTTGTCTATCCCATCATCATAGTTTACAACCTTCACACTCTTTAGGCACAAAAATGCTGAATTAATTTTTCTTTGAGGTTGAATACAACCTCCCTTGGCTGTATTAGCTCATGACAGTAACCACAGCGTATCAATAAAGACAAATGTAAGGTACTACACCTGGGAAAGAATAAATCACAAGCACAAGAGGGACCCTTAAGGTCCCTTCAAACCCCAGGACATGAGCAACTGTGGGCATCAGCCACCAGTATAGCAGTAAACATCTCTAACTGCTGTGCTACCAGGCAGCTTCCTGTAACAGGGAATGGGATGTGTTGCAGTTGGTGTAAAGAATATTATTCCTGTGACCAAAGAGGGAACAACAAGCTCATGGGTACTCCCAGAAGGAAGGAAATAAAGTGGCAAGATTATTTACTCAAAGGTATAAAAGAAAGTTCTTGGGGATCCTGGTTTTACAATCACTAGTTTTGGTGATTTTTCAAAGACACTGCATTCAGTAGCTCATGGGCAACAAATGCATTCAGTAATTTTGTACTGAATAATGAATGCATAATACAAAGCAAGCTGTATGGATGCCTCTAGACAAATCATAAGAAATATGGCAAAAAATGTGAAGATACTTTCCAAAGGTCATTAGCTGACTTCATATATTAAAATGTGATTTTTAAAATATTCTATCTCCAGGGGGAGAAAAAGCATTTAAAAGGCAATCATATGCTGCCTCTTTACAACTGCTAAAGAATAGCTTTGTGCAACAAGCAAAGAATTAATTCCACTCTCCATTACTGGCATTGGTGCTATCATGCTAAGAAACAGAAGTTAAAATGCTACTTGTCTGCAGCTGCACTGTCTGGATTGATTAAATGGTGCTTGATATGCAGACTAATGTTAAGGAAACTGATGCATTATAAAAAGCTGTACAATTTAACATCGGTGATATTATATTGGGCCTTTAAATCAAAGTTTAGAACATGAATTTAATAGCACTTCATATCTTTTTTTATACCAGCTCAATTGCAAGAACAAGCTTTTTTACTTGCTTAAATATTAATGATGTCATTTAACTGGGAAACACAATGATGAATAAGCAAGAGCTGTTTAGAGCAAATTACAAATAACTTTTAAGATGGTTAGTCCCTTGCAGCCATTTTCCATATTATGAACCAAAAAGGATTGAAAATCATCATGCTACATTATTAAATAGTAGCTGTGCAATGAAAAAGTGTCTTCTGCGGTGCCAAAAGAACTCTGTACCGAAGTCATACTGGGAGCAAGAGGCCCCTTGGATTAATGCAAAAGAATCAAACTCATTGTGTGCTGTATCTTGGATTACTTACCACATAAATCATAGTATCAAAATTATATGTATTCATTCTGTCTATAGCAGCAGCAAGATCTCTGGAAGAGATAATGAAAAACTATTTGGACTCTCATTCAAACTAAATAAACTTCATTATTTAGAATGGACTGCCAACTGGGAAAATTCTCTGCTGTTGTGGGAGGAAAGGAGGACTGCCAGGCTAAACGGAGCAATATGTATTTCATGCAAAAATATGAGCATCTGTATTTTGTTCACTGCATGCATTTGGGACTCTGTCAGTCTTGCTCTTCTTAAAAGCTTTGATTAGTCAGAACAGTGACTAGAGAAACTACATCTTGCAGAGCACAAGTCTAATCTCTATGTCTCTACTGAGATAGGAAAATGGCCAAGAAATTGAGGAATACTTGTGAGCACTTTACAAGAGCTGGACATAAATCATAGATTTCACTCCTGAAAGAGTACTAATCACAGCTCTCAGGAATGGATGGCCCCTGCTCAGTACAACCTTCCTCAGAGTTCTGCACATGCTCAGCAAGACTCACCTCAAACAAAAGACAAGCTTGATTAGTTTGTACTATAGGCTGCAAAATGTGTCCTCATTTCTGTTTTAAAAGACTTGTAAAGAATTCAAACGCAATAACACCAAAAAAATGAGTGGTAATACAGAAGCAGCAGGCCAGCAGGACTGCAGAGCTAACAAAGATGTGGAAGAAAAAATTATTCTACTCTATACCATATGTCAATGAGTGCGCTAGTAGACATCTCCCTTCTCTAAAATATTTGTTGGAAATTATTTATTAAGCAGAAAATACATTTTGGTTTTGGGCTGTTTCCATGGAACTGTAAAAATACTGTTCTAATGAGAAGCAAGGGGCGCTGACAGATGTAAAAAAACAAACAAACGAACAAAAATGGCACTTTACCAGAAGAGAAAGCACATTAGTTTGACCCAGCTCCTCAGCATCTGTATAGATGGGGAGCTTCAGCAGGGCTTTTTGGCACTTTTATCTAAAGCTGATTCAATCAGTTATTAGATAAAAGTGCCAAAAAGCCCCACTGAAGTGCCCAACCTATACAGATGTTGGACGAGCCAGGTCAAAATAATGCAATGCCTCTTCTGAGCATGTGCTGTGATTGGCACAGGTGTGTGCCAGGCTTAAAGTAAAGCACCGTTGGGGGTGGGGTTTGATATCTATAAGCAGCCAAGACAATTTGCTAATGGACCCTTTGAGAGGGTAAGTTTAGAAAAATAGGGCTTTTCATTTAATGCCCTTTCAAACCATGACAACATTGTCACTGTAAGCTTCAGCTATTAAGATTATTCAGCACTCAATACTTTGTAGCACCCCAGGAGTAAAAGCTTCTAAGTCCCCAAGAAAAATTACAATGGCAGCTCCAAAATAATTTACTAGTGAACTGAACCTGAACTTTAGCTCACACACAAACTTACCTTGTTATATAAAGGGATGTCCCATCACTGCGTGCCACAGTAGAACATGATGAAAGGTCTCCCTTTTCAGAAAGATCTACTATTCCTGTTCCTTCCCTGAAAATTAAGAAAGAAAATATTGAAATTAATGGCAAAATGACTTTGAAATAGAAAAAGATTTAAACTACATACAAAAAAGGTCTCTTTTTATGCTGCTTCCTGTTACTTGGGTCAATTTTATTCATTTTATGAACCAAGGATCTTCCCTCTCCTCCTCCATATCTTTTAGAATTACTTCTTTCACTTTGTCTTCTGTTAGTGGGCCCCGAGAACTGCCCACTCTCACTCACAAATATAGTTTTCACCCATGTTCAGCTGCCAACAACTCAGGAGAGGGATCACATCTAAACTTAGGTTGTAAAATGCTGGATATTAAACACCTCCACTCTGCCCATTTTCAGCTATGATCTTATGGCTTCTGTACCAAAAGAATCCTTCTGATTATAGGCACATAAACAACCTCAACTTTTATATATGTGAAATAAGATATATGCCAACAGATAAAGAAATCATAATTGTTACTCTGTTAACAAATTATATTGTTCATACCCCGTTTTCTGAAGGAGTCCTTTTTTATCCAACATCTTCAGCACTTCCTGGGACTTCTCACGATAAAATGATTCTCCGGAATATTCATCAAAATGCACCCCTAGACGCTAAAAAGTTCCAGGAAAAAAATAGCAAGAAGCCTTTTCACTTTCTTTGTATCTTTGCTACATGTCAGATGATGGGACTGTGTCACAGGTCAGCTACACAGACAGTATAAAGATGCATTTATTCATGAGCCCCATATATGTCAAACAGATGGGGTGTTTGGGTTTTGACAACCTCCAATTCTCCAACAGAGAATTCAGCCCTCATCAGGCTCAGGCGTGTGAGCCCAAAAGCTTGCAGAAGAAATTTTTTTTTTTTTGCGATTTCTTAGCTGGTCTAATAAAATATATCATCTCTGCAACAAGAGTTCTAGTTTTGCATTTCATAGGTTTTTTAGGTCGGAAGGGACCTCAGTAGATCATCAAGTCCGACCCCCTGCCCTGGGCAGGAAAGAGTGCCCAGTCACATTCAATCTCAGTGTGATTGAATTTGACATTTTAACAGGACAAATATTATGACTTCTTTCATTTCACTTTTTGACCCTTGTCCTTGAGGTAGAAGTAAGTGCAGATATCCCTACTAGGGATTCTGATATTTAAAAATGCCATCAATACCAAAGGTCAGATTTCTGAGCAACTAAGAAAAAACAAAGTGTATGAAGTGACTGAGTGTTTGACAGGTTCTATCTGAGGTTTGGGATATCTAGGTGATTATTGAATCATAAATATTATAATACATAAGTATTTGTAATGTCATTTTACAACATTCTGGTGATTTTTTATCTGGAATACCATGTACAATTCTGGTCACCAGTGTTTAAGAAAGATTTCAATCTACCTGGCATAGATACAGAAAAGATCTATTAAGATGATCAGAGGAATAGAGAACCTATTTTACGATGAGAGAAGACTAAGGATACCAACAGACATAACACTTTAACTGAAGAATGGCACTGACTGGGAACCAGTTCACAGCTGTCCCTGGACAGAAGTATCCATGTGCATTGGTAAGGGTTCTAAGTAGACGCATCACCTTTTTGGGATTGCACTGCTGCTCAACATTACCAAGGGATGCATTGTGCCTTCCAGGGAGAAGCAAAGGGATTGCCACTGTGTTGCCTCCTGCTTGTGGTTCCTGGGGGGCGGGCTGCTTGCTCTGAGGGCTCTCCCAAGATCTCTGTGGCTTTTCAACCCCTGTCTGGAAAGCCATGCTGTTACTTTCACCTTCCTGCTAGAGACCTTGTCCTCCAGGGTGGGAAACTCATAATAATAATAATAATATGACTGCAACCCAAATCTTTTGTTCTATGCTAATCACACTCTGGGTTTAAGTTGGAAGCAGCTGCTGTACAACTGCATTTCATTCACAAAACAAAGGCACCTGGGACTGGCTTTCATAAAATAAATGCAAGCTTCTCTCACGCAGGGAAGGAACTAGTTTCACTTGTTAACTTAAATGCAAGATAAGATTTTACCTTAATTGAACACTATTTACAGATAACTTTTATCCTGTCTACTGCAACTTCCAGTTATTTCTCATGCTTAGGTAACTGTAAGTATTTGCAGTTTTATTATTGTAATAAAGTTTAAAAAAAAAAAAGTAATGTACAAATAAAATGGAGAAATAATAAATACTACCTGTGAATCAGGGATGCATCTACTGCATTTATCTAAATCCAAGATGACTTCAGATTTAAGAAGACGCCCTCACAGTTAGATTATATACATGGGAAATAATAAATTTTATAATTTTCCATATATGGAATCTAATTATTGGAGGTTTGTCTTAAATATATCAACCGCACTGCTGTGGCAGGAAAAATAGAAGCAGGTGAAGGGCCGGATTCCTGGTCCTTGCTCCCCAAGTGCCTTCCACCCCAGTGCCTGCCCCTGCTTTCTGCCTCCTGCCACCCATCCCCCTGTACTCTCACTCCTGTGCCTTCCTCCTTGCCAGTTGCCCCCTGCCCGCCCACTGCCCGTTCCCCCTACCTACCCTGGTACCTGCTCTCCCCTACTCCATGCCTTACCTCTGCCACCTGTGCCCCCCACCTGCTCTCCCTGCTCTTTCCTTTCTCAAGTAACTCTGTTCTGCAGCAGGCAGTGGTGGTGGGGCCCCAGTGAGGCAGAAGCAGCTGTGGAAGCTGCAGCTGGGTTGGGGCCAGAGGAATCAAAGCCAGAGCAGGAGGTAAGCAGTGATGAGGGTGGGAGGGGAGAGGAGCAGGCTGTGCTGTCTCCCTGATCCACATACCATGGGTCTCCCCTGTACTCTCTTCCCTGCTGCAAGCCCACCCTTGCTGTATAAGCCATCCTGGCCCAGGGTCAAAGCCAGAGCTGAGCCACTGTCTGCCCCAGGCTGGTACTCCAATCTAAGATAAGGCTTCCCCTGCCAAGATTGAGGCAAAAACCTCTTCTTGGATTCAGGTAAATATGGTATTTGCATGGATTTCACTAACACAGATCTGCCTAAAAACATAACTAATAGAAGCCACTCTGCTCTATGAGTGCCTAACAAATAATGACACAGGCCTATTTGGAAAGGTCTCCCTTTTTTTTGCTCTTGCAAAGTATTGTAAGAAGGTGAAATGGTTCCTTCTACTCTCAGGGTAACTAAATTTTGGCAGAGTTTGCATTTAGTTTGTGAAGTATGTTGGGAAAACTTGTGCTATCCAATGTCAGTTATTACTGTCAAAGCAGGAGAGGAGAAGATGCCATTTCAGGATTACCCGGAGAAGACACATACCTTGTAAATACGGACATACTCTTCAATACTGAAGTTTCTAAAATGCTGCCACAGTGACAGCTCTTGTGCCTCACATGCCTCCAGTTTTTTAAAGAAATCTTGTGCCATCTTCTTTCCATTTTCATCTTCTGCTGCTTTGTTAGCCTGTACATAGACCTAAAATGCAAGTGCATGAAAAGTGTCTAATAAATAAGATGTTAGTGGAAAACAGAGTAACATCTTCAAGAGCCACCCAGCAGGGTATGAAGGTAACATTAGAAACACAGCTCTTTTTTTTAAAGAACAGAATTCTGAGCTGACTGGACAGTTCAGACACAGATGGGAAAATTAGCTTTTCCCTAAACACAAATGGTAATCCCACAATTGCTACTGATAATGATTCTGCTACTTCACTCTTCTACCCTTGAATCATTCAAAGCAAAAAACGATACTGACTTCATTTGTATGTAAAGGAAATGACAGAAACTTAAGCTAGGGTTCATTTTAAATGATAGGATCATACCAGTGGCATACAAAGAAAATACTAGTGGATTGTCTAAATGATGGAGCCAGTGTCAATTTGCTAGAAATACTAGTAGGTGCTTAAAGCATTCACTTGTGCCAGAGCACATAAACATTGGCCCCTCTGGTGGATTAGCACATTCCTTTGGTTCCTAAAATCCAGGGGATTAAATTAAGTATGATTCTTCTCCCTCCTCCTAACCCAAATTTAGCATTTAGAAAACATGAAGAAAAGTTCTAAAAGCCAAAATGTTATAAAAGTTCTGTCTAAAACTAACCAGGTTCAGCATGTTTTGCATTTTGACCCTGACAATTCAATATTGATGCAACGCTACTCATCTTGACAGGCTTATAAATTAACTTTGGTCACTACACGAATTAGAAACTACTGCTCTAATTTATCACAAAAAACACATCCCAAATTCAAAATAACACCCCCACCAAACCAACCCCCAACACGCACACAATTGTAACTGTACAACACAATAAGTTTAGCCAAAATATCCTGCTGGTTGATTTAGCCTGTGAAAAAGCTCTCAAATTAAACATTCTTGAACTTTTCCCCTACCCTACATTTTTTATGAATTTCTGGGTTATTAGTTAACCAGATGGTATCAGTGATGACCCTAAATCTTGAGAGCAGATTAAGGTTGTAGCAACCCAGTCGCAGATAAAGAAAAAGTTAATACTTCCTTTGAAAGAGCCTAACTGAACACAGTTTCTTCCTTCTTGCAAATGATTTTGTCGAGCCAGAATATTTGCAGTTAAAATCTTGTGTCAATATTTGATACAGATCAGATGCATAATGAAACAGTTATAGTAGGCAGAAATAGGGAATATTTGAAATCTATCTATTGGTCTCACTGCCTAAGTACAGACATTCAGGGACATTAAGGGGAAGTTAAATTGGATCAAAATGGCTGCCCAATATCAGATAAATTCAGATGTGTGGGCTAGCAGGCGGGGAAGGGGTTGGGGGTCCAGCAGGCTGGAGGGGATTGGGGGATCTGCTGGGGGTTGGGGGGCAGGCATGATCCATAAGGGAGGGCTGGTGCGGTTGGAGTGGGAGGGGCCAGCACAACCCGCCAGTGTGTTGGGGGGGGCAGGCATGACTTGCGGATTGGTTAGGGCCCCCCCAGCAAACCTACACCCCCATACCTCCTGCCACTCCCCCCACTGGGATGTGCATGGTTGGCTCTGGCAGTGACAAATGCTAAAAGAAGCAGCTGCACCCAGAGCAGCTTATGGGATAGGGGTTGAGAGGGCTGGTGGGGGCAGAGGGGGGAGCAAGGGTTAGTGAGGATGGGAACAAAAATTAGCCCAGTGCTGGGGTGGCCATGAAAAGCGCAGCCCTGGGGTGGCACAGGAAAAGCGTACAGAAGTTCCAAGCACTGGTTTGACCTAAATTCAGAAAGTTTGATACTACACAGATCCAGGTTTCTCTTAAACTATGCTCTGCAATTTTTAGAGCAGTTTGCATGCATAAAACTTCTGTACAGTTACTTTGAAAACTACTTCATTAGAAACTACCACATGTACCCTGAATGTTTCCCTCTGTGAATTGTGAAGGTGAACTGGGGCTATCTAACCATAAACCTAGGTTTTTAATTTATTAACCAATTCAGCGGAAGGAATAATCTACTCAAGCAGTTACTTTGTCAAAGAAGAAGATCAGGTTTGTTTGACATGATCTGTTTTCTATAAATGAATACTGGCTGCTTGTGATCAACCTCCTGCAGATACTCCTTGTAAACATGCTCCAGTAACTTCCTAGGTATTAAGGTGAGGCTAACCAGTCCACAGTTCCTCAGGTCCTCCTTTTCACCTTTTTTAAAGAGAGGCAGTACATTGGCCTTTTCCCAGTCCTCCAGACTTCATGAATTTCATTGCCAAGGGCTCAGAGATCTCCCCTGCCAGTTCCTTCAGTCCCCTGGGACAAAGTTCATCCAGCTCTGCTGATCTGAATTTATTCAGCCCCAGCAAAAGCTAACTGACACTCTCTCTTGTTATCTCCTCCCTCAGCTTGCCCCTTCCTTATCCAGATAATCCTTATTAGGTGTATGGCTGCAGCTTAGTCATTTTGTGAAGACTGAGACAAAGAAGTTGCTGAGTACATCTGTCTCCTTTGCATCTTTTGTTAGGAGCTCCCCTTGGCTTGTTAACAGAGGACTCACAGCTTCCCCTGTCCTCCTTTTCTGACCAACATACTTATAGAACCTCTTTTTGCTGTCCTTAAGATCCTTTGCTAGGTGCAGCTCAATTCTTTATTTTCGCCTTCATGAAGATTTTGTCCCTGCAGGTTCTTCCTATTGCCTAGTATGAGTCCTTGGTGACCTTACCATTCTTCCATTGCTTGTATGCATTCCTGTTACATTCAAGGCATTTGAGCAGCTCTTTGTGCAGCCACATTGGTTTCTTGCCATCCTTCTTGTGCTTCCATTATGCCAGGACAGTTTCTTGTTGGGCTTCCAATACTGTGCCCTCTAGAAGCTCCCAGCCCCCTGGGCACCTTTATACTTCACTCTATCCTCCCATGACACCATGAGTATTAGCTCCTTGAGTCAGATGAAATCTGTCTTTTTGAAATCTAGCGTCCTAATTTTGCTGACCTCACGCTTTCCCTGTCTCAGTATCTAAAATTCAATCCAACTGTGATTGCTTCCTCCCAAGCTACCCATCACCTTCACATCCTCCACCAGTTCAAGATCCAAGACAGACGATCCCCCTACTTGTGTCCTCCACTTTCTGGAACAGAAAGCTGTCCTCCACACAAGTTAGGAACCGACCTGACATTTTATGTTTGGCCTCATTCTTCCAGCAGATGTCTGGAAAATTGAAGTGTCCCATCAGTACCATCCCATAGTTTTTGCATAGATTTGTCACCTGCTTGAAGAATGCTACATCCATACCTCCTCTTCCTCATTTGGTGGCCTATAATAAATTCCCACTATATCGGTGGTGTATCTTTTATCTTTGTTCTTCATCCAAATGCATTCTGCTTTGCTGTCTTCTTCCTCCTGAATCAGGGAACAAAAGTATGTGTTTTTGACATGCGACGCAATATCATCACTTTTTCTTCCAACCCTGTCCTTCCAAAACAGAGCATAGCCTTCGATGTTGATGTTCCAGTCATACCACACGTACCATCAGGTCTCTGTGATGCCAATCAGATCACAGTTCTTTTCACAGGCTGCAGCTTCCAGCTCATTTTGTTTATTCTCCATTCTTCTTCCATTTGTGTACATGCATCAGACATCTTTTGCATTTTGACTTACTTGCTTTCCTTTTGCTCCACTTGTTTCAGTCCTATATCTATCTGGCCCAGAGTTAACTTGTTTCTTCAAGTCCTTTCCTCTCTGGACTGTGTGCTCTGTTGCTGGAGGATTTTGATCACCACCCCCATGAAACAAAACTAAGCCCTCCTTACTAGGTAAGCCAGATGACACCCAAAGAGGACCTGAAGTCCTGTTCTTGTTGATAGCAGCCCTCCTCCTGAGAACATCTACCCCTTGTCAAAGAAGTTGAAGCCTTTACGTTAGCTTCCACCATGGTCTCTGCTTGGACCCTTGCCTTCCATGGCAAGAATTGATGAGAACACCATTTGTGCTCCAAGCATCTTGATTCTCCTGCCAAGAGACTCCCAGTCACTTCTGATCTGCTCAATGTCATTCTAGGCAGTATCTCTGGTGCCTACATGGACAAGCAGGAAGGCTTAATGGTTTGAAGGATGGATGAGCTTTGGCAGTCTCTCTGTGATGTCCTGAATTCAGGCTCCAGGCAGGCAGGATACTTCCTGGGCCCCCAAATCTGGATGACAAATTGGTGCCAATGCTCCCTGCAGAGGGTAGTCACCAACCACCACCACTCCTCTCTTTCTTCTTGGTGCAGTGGCCCTAGGGCACCTGTTCTTGGGCCTGGCACTTCCTGTTCCCTAGCCTGCCGACTCCTCTGCCTCATGCCTACAGATTGTTCTCTCTTCTGTCTTTTCTTCAGCAGTTCCACCACAGAGTGCTTGAAAGTGGTTGCTGACTTCAAATCTGGTGCTCTTTAATTCTGGGTATCCTCCTTCTCCAAGTAGTCACATGCTGCCACTTCTCCTCATTGCCCTTTGGTGTTCCCAGTACCAGCTTCTCATAACTCTTACCCAAGCAATCTTCTGTGATTCCTGATGTAATACAGCATGGATACCTGTGTTTCCAGTCTTCTTGAATCTTCTCCTCCAGGCCAGACCCAGCTTTACACTTGGTACAGATGAAGTGCTCCTGACCATCTAGGAGGAACACAAACAATACATCCCACACAGGTCACAACGGTTGATCCAGACTCCATTTGTCCCTCCTTTGCTCCAGCATACACCTATGCTGTAAGGAGAAAAAAGACAAGGGGCAGGGGAGGGGCAAAAAGACACACCACAAGAACCTGCACACCAACACCCACACCAGGGTCCTTGCACATGCTCACAAGCACAACCTCCTGCACCCTGGGCTCCCTCTTTGGGAGAACTTCCTAGGCCAGTAGTTTTCATTATTTGCAGACCCCTAAAAAATTTTGAGTGGAGGTACAGACTCCTTTGAATTGTCACTTTGGGTAGTCACATACTTTTGATGGATCATAGTCATCTTTTGAGGACCCCTTAGAAAAAGACTGCAGCCCCCCAGGGTGGCGAAAACCACTGCCCTAGCAAACTCTTTTCTGTTTGCTTCTCACTAAGTTTGCAGCAGGATGGGGAGGGATGGGGGGGTGAGAGGGGCATGGTGGTGCCTTTTCATAGGGCTGCCCTGGCTCCACCCTTCAATTACCTAAATTAGCCTCACCTGGAGCAAGCGTTGTCACTCAGTCACTCCAGAGGTGGGAAGAAGAGACAGAGATGGAGAGAAGCAAACACACAACACAGGGGAGAAGCAAACTTACCACACCAGACATTAGGCAAACACTTTAGCACAGGGGTGGGCAATAATTTGGGCCCTCAGGCCACACAGAGAGTTTTGGGGAGCTGTTATGAGCTGGGTCAGCATCCCCCCTGCCCGTGCAATAGCTTACCAAACCTCCCTATGTGGGACGGGACCATGGGCAGGAGGGGAGCTGGCATGGGTGTGGGTGGGCTGACATGGGCGCTGATGGCGGCAGTGGCGGGGAGAAGCCACAGAGCAGCTCCAGCATGGTCTCTAGGCCCTGCTTTTTCCCTGCCGCCACCACTCATTGTGGCTGAGGCAAGTGGGTCCAAAGTGCGTGCTGCAGGGACCCTGACCCCCCCTCACAGGGCAGGTTGAGGATTGGGCCCTGCCTGCATGGGCCCCAAAAAGGGGCTGGAGCTGGAGCCCATGAAGACCCGTTGGGACCCATGTGGGCAGGGCCTGAGCCCTGGGCTAAGCGCACAGCCCAGGCACTGGCTTGCCTAGCGCAGGGGTTTGGGGCCTCTGCAGCACCCTCCGCCCCACTGCCACCACCTCTAGTGCTGTCTCTGGGCTGCCCCGGCCCCCCATGCCTTGTAGGGCAGTGCAGAGCAGCCACAGGGCAGCTCTGGTGCAGGCTCTGGGTCCTCTTTTTCTGGTCACTGTCACCATGGCTGGATAGGCGGGTCTGGAGCGGGCATTGCAGAGACACTGACCCCCTGCATGGGGCAGGCTGGGGCTACAGCCAGGGCTGTGCACTCAGTTGGGGATTTGGGCCCTGCCTGTGTGGGTTTTGGCTTGTCTCCATGGGGCCAGGGCCAGCAGCGGTGGCAGCCAGAAGGAGCCATTTCCAAGAAATGGAGTCCAGCCACACAGCTCCCCCCAGGCTCACTGTGTGTCTAGGGGCAGCGGGATGTGCCACGGGCCGGATAGTGCCCGGGCCAGGCAGGACTGACGGATCTGCTGCGGGCCATATTTTGCTCACCCCTGCTCTAGTACTGATCAGCCACCATAAGTCACAACCACAGAGAAAAGCAGTCCTACACCTGAGCTGCTTATCTCAAGAGGAACTGCTCTCTGTGTAATGCCCTCTCTTCCCACTGGGCTGCCTTTTTATAAGGGTGCCTAGCCAAATTTGACCCCTCAATTACCTGAACTGGCTCCACATAGAACAAGCTCTGTCACTCAGTCACTCCAAAGGGGGGAAGAAAAGAGAGATAGAGAAGCGAAAGAGAGAAAAGCAAATGGAAAAAAAGGAAAAAAAAATCCAAAAAGCTTAACTGACTATAGGCCAGTCAGTCTCACCTCCATCCTTGGCAAAGTCTTTGAAAAAATTATCAAGGCTCACATTTGCAAGAGCCCGGCAGGAAAAATTATGCTGAGGGGAAACCAGCACGGGTTTGTAGCAGGTAGATCATGCCTGACTAATCTAGTCTCTTTTTATGACCAGGTTACAAAACGCCTGGACGCAGGACCAGGGGTTGACGTCATATACTTAGACTTCAGGAAGGCCTTCGATATGGTATCCCACACCATACTGGTGAACAAGTTAAGAGGCTGTGACTTGGATGACTACACAGTCCGGTGGGTGGCGAATTGGCTAGAGGGTCGCACCCAGAGAGTTGTAGTGGATGGGTCGGTATTGACCTGGAAGGGTGTGGGCAGTGGGGTCCCGCAGGGCTCGGTCCTAGGACCGATACTCTTCAATGTCTTCATCAGCGACTTGGACAAGGGAGTGAAGAGTACTCTGTCCAAGTCTACGGATGACACAAAAATGTGGGGAGAGGTAGACACGCCGGAGGGCGGGGAACAACTACAAGCAGACCTGGACAGGTTGGACAAATGGTCAGAAAACAACAGAATGCAATTCAACAAGGAGAAATGAAAAGTGCTGCACCTAGGGAGAAAAAATGTCCAGCATACCTACTGCCTAGGAAATGACCTGCTTGGTGGCATGGAAGCGGAAAGGGATCTTGGAGTCCTAGTGGACTCTAAGATGAACATGAGTCGGCAGTGTTACGAAGTCATCAGAAAAGCTAATGGCACTTTATCGTGCATCAGCAGATGCATGACGAACAGAACCAAGGAGGTGATACTTCCCCTCTATCGGGCACTGGTCAGACCGCAGTTGGAATACTGCGTTCAATTTTGGGCGCCACACTCCAAGAGAGATGTGGATAACCTGGAGAGGGTCCAGAGAAGGGCCACTCATATGGTTAAGGGCTTGCAGGCCAAGCCCTATGAGGAGAGACTGGGGCACCTGGACCTCTTCAGCCTCCGCAAGAGAAGGTTGAGAGGCGACCTTGTGGCTGCCTATAAGTTCATCATGGGGGTACAGAAGGGAATTGGTGAGGTTTTATTCACCAAGGCACCCCCGGGGGTTACAAGAAATAATGGCCACAAGCTAGCAGAGAGCAGATTTAGACTAGACATCAGGAAGAACTTCTTCACAGTTAGAGTGGCCAAGGTCTGGAACGGGCTCCCAAGGGAGGTGGTGCTCTCCCCTACCCTGGGGATCTTCAAGAGGAGGTTAGATAGGCATCTAGCTGGGGTCATCTAGACCCAGCACTCTTTTCTGCCTATGCCGGGGGTCGGACTCGATGATCTATTGAGGTCCCTTCTGACCCTAGAATCTATGAATCTATGAATTGTGTATAATCCTACAGAAAAGTACAATTTCTAGTTGTCCAAGTCCAGAATCTATCAATTATACTGAGAAAGCCCAAGAAAAAGGAAAAAATAAACCTGGATTGTTAAAGGACAGAGAAGGTGAATACCTTGGAAACTAGAAGCCATTATTTTCCTGTACAAGCAACGTGCATATAATACATAATGGGTAGAATGCAAAATACCTTAGCACACTTGTGACTGAGCCAGTAATTGGATTTATTTGAAGCTATCATCCTGTGATATAATGACCAGTTAACAGCCTACAGTACCAGTGTTACAAACACCCACCAAGCTCACCCTAACGCACAGAAAAGTGTTGTTCAAGCTTTGTATTACAGCTCACACTCTCTAGCAATTTTATCTTACCGTACAGGAATCATTGCTGAAAAGCCTCATAACATTTGCTATATTTACCTTTAAAAAAAGGGACCTGGAACATTTTACAATTCAGAAATTTTCATCTGCACATCTCCAAAGCAAGAGCTGGAATCATTCTCTAAAGCACCATAAATCTACATTCTGCTATTTCTAGTAGCTGACAGAGACAGGCTATCAGACTGTATTACAAGAGTTCACCAAGGGTCTTTGCATATAAATGCGATCAATAGTAATAGCCTCTTTTATAAATTTGGGGAGTAAAGATCAAAAGCTAGTTCATATATGAAACACGTTTGAGAAGAATGAATCAAAATCCTAAATATATTTCTTATCTAAACCAGCAAGAGATTTGGAAAAATGCTAAAGAATCACACATATGTGAGCCCATTGTGAAATTAGCAGATCAAGTTAATTTTTTGGTGCAGGGAAAAACAATCTGCATCTCCCCATACTGGCTTGCCCATTCAGTCCAAGAAGTGCATTTTCACACAAGAAAAAGCTTCAGTCTTCTCCAGCAAGGGATGCATACTACCTATTAGAGGCTACCTATTAGAGTCTGAATCAAGTTCACTTTCAGAATCTTAATGAAAGCAAAATCCAACCAAAAGAGCATTCTGAACACATGCATTGTAATAAATCACCCTTTCAGCATGTTTATTAGGTTGGGCTGCATTCAGATTTCAAGATCTTTTAAAGATCCTTTCCCCCCACCTTCAGGTTGTAGCTGAAGGTGTAACTGACAGATCACAATAGAAAATGTATGACTATTATAATATTCTGTTTTGTATCTGTATACAAATGGAAACTACAGCATTCACACATTTTATTGAATATACATATATATATATATATATATACATATATATTAAACTGAGCACTGCACTATAGACACACCCTGAAACATAAAGTCTGAAAATTCTGTTGTTTAAATTACATTGTATTTTATATATCAATATCAATCTAGCCATCTACTTAGCTGAGATATATATGATGTAATATAACTTAAGGAACAGAAACTGAATTCACCGAATGCAATGTAAATTGAATGTAGATGTAGATATCCAAGACAATGTAATTTAAGCAACAGAAATGTCCAAGCAGGCTATTTCAGGGTACGTCTACACTACAGTACTAAATTACCCAAGCTGTTTTAACCCACCTAGCCAGATTAAGCTATCTAGGATCTCTCTACATGCCGTATAGCAATGCCTAACGACAAATATTTTTGTACAGTTGGATAACACTGGTGTACCTTCAAATGTAGTAAGCTGACTTACCTCAAAGAGGTGCTGTAAAGGAGTGGATTTTAGCTTTTCTTCACTGCCAAACTGTTGGAAACCAGCTCCCAGTAAGCCTAAAGTAAGTGATGAAATAAGATGTTAAGAAACCAGTCCAGTGTGTTTTATGTTGATTAAATACTCTGTATGAAACAATGCTAAGATACAGATTTAAAGTGTGAAAGTAAAACACAACAGCATGTTTAAAAGGCATAACTTTCTGCCACAAAATAAACCAACACTATTTCAGGGCTCAAAAAACTATTAGTCACCAGAAACTGGTGTGAAAGACTGTAGTAACCTTTCTGTCAAGGAGTCTCTTCCAATACCAAAAACCATCAAGACTCCACTGTTCACATCAGCCTTTGGTGAAAGGCATCTAATGAATGTGAAGCCTTCTTCTCTGCATTCCCACAGTAATGCCATAACTGCCCCAAACTACACCCTTCATCCGAATCAGAGGCACTGCAAGGGGCTTATTACCCACTGCTCTACTGAACTTTTTCTGTTTTGGGTCTCCCTCTCCAGCAGATCTCACCAAACTGTCAATGTCCTTAGGGTTCTGAAAAGCTGCAGGGTTAAACTGATTAGATTCTTGCCAGTTTTTATTAGAGGTGCACCAATACATCAGTCCCACTTCAGATCAGCACCAATATAAGGAAAACTGGCTGTATCGGCAATTGGCTTTTTTTGGCTGATGTGGCCGATAATGCCACTGATAAATGTCCTGTGCATGCAGGCAGCTAAACACAGCATGCAGGCGGCCAGAAGAGCAGCCCAGCTGCATGGAGAGCAGCCCAGCTGCATGGAGAGCAGCTGGGTCAGGCTGGTAGGTCTGTTGTAAGGGAAGGGACGGGGGTAGGGGGCAGGCAGATCGAGGCCCTTGTGGTAAGGGAGGGAGTGGGGCATGGGCATGTGCTGCTCAGCCAAGGCGGAGCCATGAATGGCTCGTCCAGGTGGATGCAGGAAGGAAGTGGTGACTCCTGCTGCTGCAAGCACCCTGGGAAGGCATGGGGGACATATGCCCCTGGATCTGTGCGTGGGGTGGGGTCCGCTGCCGCGGCGGGCTGGGGCGGCGCCAGGCTCTTCCCTGTGGGGGGCTGGGCCGGGCTGCACTCGGGGTGGGCAGCGGCAGCGCTGGCAGGGAGCTATAGCGAATTTTGGGGTGGCTGCAGCCCCCCTCCTGTAACCCCGCTTACAGCGCCACTGCCGCCTGCCCTGAGCACAGCCTGGCCCAGCTCCCTCACTGGGAAGACCCCAGTGCCACCCTGGCCCCAGCCCGCAGTGGCAGCCCACCCCACCCTGCACAGATGCGGGGGCACATGCCCCCCATTGCCCTTCCAGGGCACACGTAGTGGCGGGAGACCCCTCCTTTCCCCACGCCCCCCAGATGAGCCATTCGTGGCTCCGTCCCATGTTCTGTCTGGCTGTACAGCACCTGTCCCTGCCCCAGCCCCACTCCCACCCTCACAGCGGGGACCTCAATCTGTCCCCCTCCACACCCCTTCCCCCACAACAGACTTACCAGCTGTATGCCTCTCTCCAAGCTGTCGTGCTGCATATCAGAATCAGACTGCTATTGGCCAATATGACTCGTTAAAAACTGGTCGTTGGTATCGGCCCAAAAATTCTCTATCAGTGCACTAAGGGTTTTCATTATACTGCAACTCAGGAGAAAAACAAGCCACAGCAGGCTCACTGAAGCTTCTGTGAAATCATAGACTCATAGAAAATTAGGGTTGGAAGGACCTCAGGAGGTCATCTAGTTCAACCCCCTGCTCAAAGCAGGACCATCCCCAACTAGATGATCCCAGCCAGGGCTTTGTCAAGCTGGGCCTTAAAAACCTCCAAGGATGGAGATTCCACCACCTTTCTCAAGGACGCCAGCCCATATTTGCTTCCAAGCAATATGCCACAGCTGCTTTGCACTGTTTGGATAACAGACAACTATTGCAAATTTCACTGAATCAGCCCAGTTTAGTCAGGTTTACTTCTGTTCTGTGGCATGAGAGCAGTACACAGCAGATCCAGCATACCACTGAACCGTGGCATTCTTTTTTTTTTTTAATGAATTCTTCCATCCTACAGAATTTGACAGCACAAAGGTTCTGCCTAATGTCTGGAAAAGCAAGGACATGGGACCACTCAATGTGCCAGGTATTGGGAGATACGTAGTTTGGGGCAGCTACATCCAAGTGAGCATTCACCTTTGTGGAGCACCAGTCAGTACTTCCACTTCTACCACCTCAAGAGGGTTCTACTGGGGGAAGACATCTATAAACCGTAGCCAGGGCTCCATAGAAGCTGCCTGAGGAAGGCTATCCAGTGACACAATAGCTCCATGGTTATGCTCCCTGCCTTGCCGGTGCTAACCGGATTAAGGGCATGAGAAGCTTTGACAGAGCAAGGTTTGGGAGATGTAATTCACTGGTAGAACCCTACTTCCAGGAGGACTTGCTGCTGCATGCTGATATTTGCAATTTCTTTTTATTTCAACCATATCTGGTTTGGCTTTAGAACTGCCCAAAGATCATCTGAAGGCTGAGGCAATTCAAGTATTTTTGTCCAGTCACCTGGCCTAATGTTCTGCAGCCACCCACGTGGTCTAGGGTTGATTTTAAATCCTTGTCTTCTATCTGAGTTCCTTCCAGCCTTGCTAACAGAAGACTAGGACTGCTGTGAAGACAGCATACAGCCCTCAGTAAGGATGGATCACTCCAGTTGCAAATTAAGCATCTTTAAAAAATGTCCTATCCAGCTCCTGTGGGGGGTAGAGGGAATGCGATGTGGGTTCTAGGAGGAGTTTAATAAGGGAAGCAACACAATATCCAAAGAGAAAATAAAGTAAGTGTAATCCTATTTAAATTCAGATTTTTATTAAAAGCAGTCTCTGAGCTGAAAGCCTGTCTGCCAAGTTTCAGCAGG